TATTCACGGCCAGATCGTCGCTACTGCTGATCCCGTCATTCACGGAAAGATCGCCACTTTTGCAGATTGCCACCAGATTCGGGCACACCCCCATCATTTCACAGCCAGATTGCTGCCGTGAACCATCAACCGCATGTGCACCGCCAACACCATAGGAGAGAAACTGGACATGGCGAAGAGAAATATAGGAGACGAACACTGAACACGGTGGTGTTCATTGATGGCTGTGATGGCGGCGATAATCCATTCATGAAGGGAGAGGAAAGAAAGAGAAAATGGGAGGAGAGACAGAAAAAGAGAGAGAGGAGAAAGAGGGATACAGTTAGGGTTTGAGAGGGTAGATAATAGTGGGTTGAAATATTTATTTTATAAAAAATTTAATGAAAATAAAATAACTGATTTTTGAAATATTAAACTTCTAATCTGATTTTAGAGTGTTGAATATTTAAAGTATGGATTGGTGTAATTTCCTCATAAAATATTATTATGAAAAATGAGGCCCACCCCCATGTGTGTGTTTTTTTATTTTTACAGAATTTTTTTCTATAACAGTAGTATTGTTCAAAACTATAACTTGGATCCAAAACTTAGCTAAATTAAGCCCCTATTTTGAAGGGATTACTTAAATTTAAGTCAAAATTAACAATTGATTTTAATCATATATTTTATTGGTTCCACAATTTTTCTACCATACATTTTATCAAATTTTATCAAAATCTACTAAAAATATGATTTTAATTCCTACGGTTAAATATAAAATGCCAACTGGCATAAGACCTAGGACAAAGCCTAGATCGGCTTCCTTCTAGGCCCGGACCGAGCGAGACCTAGGAGGTCACATAGAGAGCGCATAATTAGAGCCTTTGGCTAGAGGATTCTCAATCTACGATGCCTCTCAGAGCATAAGATGAGGCTAGGAAAGACGTCCTCAAACCAAAGCGTTCACATATCCCGACATCCCAATTAGGTAAGATGAAATAATAGATGAGACAGGGCACAGTGAAGTTTGACGGCTCCCCTAACAGTGGCTATTTGTGAAAAGATCGTAGGGAGCTCAGACCGAAGTGTGCCCCCATCAACTACCCACTTTCGGCAATGTGACGAGTTGGCCACCAGTCTGCTGTTAGGATATGGCTGGAAAGAACGGCCCAAGAGGTAAAGATGGTATAAACCCGTTTGGTAAAGATTAAAATCTAATTAAAATTGAAAATATAGTCGTTATTGATCACACTCGTCTAATAAAAGTCAACAATAACGGTTAGTTTTTCAATTTTAATCTGATTTTCATCTCTACCGAACACGCCGCATATTTCTTGAACTCTATTAATACCCACATAAATCCTCAGCCAAGATATACGAAAACTATGGTCCTAGCCAAAACTCTGTCAATTTGTTTTTTAATGCCCGATTTTTTATATTTGACTTGATTGTCAGAATGCATACCATCATTATAGCCGTCTGAATCTACTGTATTACATTCTAACAATGTCCCGAGTGTGCATATACTATAAAAGTAGACAGAGAGCTGAGGTATTATTAACTTGAAGTTGTCCAAATTTTGAGGTCAACAAGATATATTAAATTAGTATAAGTTATGGCTTTGATTTCTCCATTTGCGGATAGACACTTTCTGACTTTCTCATGTGTTTGAGGTTTATCAATCATCCTTTCTAGATCCCTCCCCCATCTGTAAGTGAAGTTGCAAGTAAGCAAACAGGATTCTGCCAACTGAACTTGTTCAACCCGAGGGACCCCTCGAAGAAGACAGATGAGTTTAAAGTAGAGATCCACCCTTTTGGACCACATAATTTAGGAACCTCATTCTTAGGTCAGTTTCAAACTACTGTACAGTTTTATTCAGGACAAAGGAGCATACCCTGTGTAATGTTCTTGTCATAAATATATCAACCTGGCCCTAAACCGATTTGTTTCCTGAATTTATTCTTGTTTTTTTTTTTTTGATAATCGTGGATGTCCGGATCAGTTTGCCCGCACCTCGACCAATCCCATATTAAGGGATATATATCTCACATCAATAAATGATGTTGACACACACAGACCAATTAATAAAGATTTTTAGCTACTCCTCTTAACAAGGTTGACTTTTTAAGATGAAACCTCAATTTTTAACATCCCACGAGGCCCTGAAGTTTACGGCCAGATACTTGTCTCAGTGACCCTGAGGGGACTCGAACTGGTGACCATTGAGGAGCAAAATCAAGGTCTGACCAAATTTATTCTTTTTATAGCAAGTTTGGTTTATATTCTTAATTCAACGCCACCTTGCCCCCTATTTGGTTTAGCTAGATATCATATTTCTAATGGAATGTGATAAAAGTTTGTTATGTATTTTGGACCGCAAAATAATGATGATAACGAAATAAATAAGAAGAAATAAACATCAAGATTTACGTGGAAATCCAATACTGGAAAAAACTACGAGTAGAAGAGGAGTAATCAACTATAATCAATAACAAGTGTGTTTACAATACCAAGATCACAATGCTCTCAATTGAAATTTAAACTCTCTAACTCTCAAGATGTTGAATATATGTATGTGAAGATACAATGTGGAATATATATATGTGAATCACTTTTTGGAATTCTAGATGAAGAAAAAGACATAAAATCCGAAAAAAAAATGGAATTAAAAAACACCACGGTGTTGCCGCGACGCCGGCCCATTGCTTGGCGCTGCAGCGTCACGCATTCTGTATAATTCATGCGGCACCCTATGCCCACGCTGTGACGCCCGGCTTTCTGTCATTTTCTAGTCCAAATTATTTTTTCATTTCAAAGTCATTTTTCAAATCAAACTCTCAATACAGACCAATTAATAAAGATTTTTGGTTACTCCTCTTAACAAGGTTGACCTTTTAAGATGAAACCTCAATTTTTAACATCCCATGAGGCCCTGAAGTTTACGGCCAGATACTCGTCTTAGTGACCCTGAGGGGACTCGAACTGGTGACCATTGAGGAGCAAAACCAAGGTCTGACCAAATTTATTCTTTTTATAGCAGGTTTGGTTTATATTCTTAATTCAACGCCACCTTGCCCCCTATTTGGTTTAGCTAGATATCATATTTCTAATGGAATGTGATAAAAGTTTGTTATGTATTTTGGACCGTAAAATAATGATGATAATGAAATAAATAAGAAGAAATAAACATTAAGATTTATGTGGAAATCCAATACTGGAAAAAACTACGAGTAGATGAGGAGTAATCCACTATAATCAATAACAAGTGTGTTTACAATACCAAGATCACAATGCTCTCAATTGAAATTTAAACTCTCTAACTCTCAAGATGTTGAATATATGTATGTGAAGATACAATGTGGAATATATATATATATGTGAATCACTTTTTGGAATTCTAGATGAAGAAAAAGACATAAAATCCGAAAAAAAAAATGGAATTAAAAAACACCACGGTGGTGCCGCGACGCCGGCCGGTCCCATTGCTTGGCGCTGCAGCGTCACGCATTCTGTATAATTCATGCGGCACCCTATGCCCGCGCTGTGACGCCTGTCTTTCTGTCATTTTCTAGTCCAAATTATTTTTTCATTTCAAAGTCCTTTTTCAAATCAAACTCTCAATTCAAGTATAATTCATGCGGCACCCTATGCCCACGCTGTGACGCCCGGCTTTCTGTCATTTTCTATTCCAAATTATTTTTTCATTTCAAAGTCTTTTTTCAAAGCAAACTCTCAATTCATTAATTAGGACTCTCAAAAAATCCAAGCTTCTTGGACTTCTTCTATTCAACTAAACACCAAATTACATGAGATTTGGATCACACCACAACAAAGTTGATGAAATATATGAATTAAAAGTTGATAAAAATTGTAACACGCGATTATTTTTGTCATGTAACCTTCTTTTTTAATTCGTCGAACGTGTCTTAAAAGATATGAATATAAGGGTCCTTCGCATGAAACTTCTGATGATTTTCTTTATTTATTGCTCAATTACTTTTGCGGACCCATATCCTTTTTTATGGATGGATTATCAACAGTTTGTCTTTGATGCATTATGTGGTTTCGTCCCCACCATTATTTGCAAGGCTAATGGAGTAAAATCATAGTCTACTTTGAATGCCGGAAATGGAAACGCGTAGCAACTAATTTTGTTGAATCATTGGGTGTATTTCTTTTGGCTTGCAACATAGTCTGACCACGCATCATGGCTTGATATTTGTAAGCACGATAATCTAGCAGGATATTTGTAAGTTGTGTGTGAATATTGACATCATGGTATCAAATGAGAGCAGGAAAAACATTTTATGACATTCAACCACCATTATTTGAATGTCCCAATTCATGGGTATAAGAGCGGCCTTGTTGCCCCCAACAATTTCTCCCGATCAACATGACGCTCTTGTGATTGGAAGTCATGACTTTGTCTTTGATACCTCTAACGTCGAATTTCAACGATCTCATCTGAAAATTAATCGGTGTCTAGTAAGGACGTGTTAAACCTTTTTATGACATTCGATAATCATTTGAGTGGCTCAACTCATGGATTTCAAAGCGACCTTATTGCTCTCTTAACACATTTTATTCTAATATTTTTATTAATTGAAGGTCAAACTCCACATTAATTTCCTATCCCAGCTTGTATTTTTCTTTTTCTTTATTTTAGAATGAATAGATGCTCCACCTTTTTAGTATCTGGGATCTTGTTGACTATCTCAGTTTGGACTCTTTTCCAAATTGTTGTTTAATATTAATGCAAATTTGAATCGCGCAAATTTTAATCGCAGTTGAATATTTAATGAATTAGTGTATGCTTGGCATACAGTACTCAACAAAAATCTTGTTCATATTCACATACTGTTCAATAAACATGCTGTAAGGACTAAGAGAGCATCATTTAACGTGGCCGAAGAGAGAAACAGAAATCTAATTACAAAGAAAGCACGAAATATTTGCTCGATTCACCAGACACCAAATACACACACAGACGCGTACGATACATATCTAATCTGTGGTAATCACACAGCTGCAATCCTGATTTCTTCTTTCATTTTTCTTATAAATTCTTCAAACTTCTTGTTCAGTTCTTCCGTGCTTACCTTCACATCATCTTTTATTCCTTCTTCTTCACCATCTATAATCAATCCACTTTCTTCTTCGTCGTCCTCATCTTCTTCCTCACTCTCTACGATCAAAACCCTACTCTCTCTTTCTTCCACTTCTTCTTGTTTTTCCTTGTGATCCTTCTCTTCCTGTGAAATTGCAAGCTTTTCAGTGTCATAAATAATGGCTGATTCTTCATTATCTTCAGGCGGCGCAGCCTCTTTCGACTCAGAAACTGGGTTCATGTTTTCACCATTAGAGGAAGAGCTGAAACTCAGGCTCTTGGCAAGAAATGCAAGAATTCCATTACAAAGAAGGAACGCGTACTTTCTATCTAGAGCATGGGAGAATATTAATGCTGAAAATTGAACATTACTGGAGAAGCCGAAATCGAAACCTGAAATGTAAGAAAATGCAAAAGATAAGAGAGACATTGGGACTAGAATTAGTAATGATTTTCTGATAAACTCATAATACTTATGAGTTTCTGTAGCTGTTTCAATCATATATTCACCATTTCGATCCATCTTCTCCTCTATAAAGTATAAACCTAGCTAAGAAAGAGTACAGGAAGAACTAGTGGGGGCAAAGGGCTTGGAATTTGCTGGAATACACAGGGGTTGGAGTATAGAACGTGTCTATATATACGTAGTTCGATATGAAATTTAGGGTTATTTGGCACGACTTTTGCGTTTGCTTCCGTAGAAGAATTTTCTCAGAAAATTAACAAAAAAAATTTTAAAAAAAATATTTATACATATTTCAAAGTAACTTTTTAATCTCAAAAATAACTTTTGATTTTTCAAATATCATATCAAACCGCCTCTTAACAATTATTAGTAGGGGTATGAATGGACCTTTCTGAATGATAATGCGTAAAAGCCCATTTCTATAAGAAAGAAGACTTTTTCATTACAAATTAAATACAAACAAATAATTGGAAAATGAGAGTGGAAATTTCTAGCATTCCCAATAAAGCAGCTTTTTCTATCATTTTTCATTTTAAACATATAGCAGGATAAAAATCAGACATAAGTGAGTTGGACAACCACAAAATTTGTACATTTTATTTTATATTTATATTTCAAATTTTTTTTAACTTAAAACCCTAGAGTTATATTTTCAAAACAATGCTTTAAAGATCGGCCAGGGTATTAATTGACCCGAAACAAATAAAGGGAAGGTCACGAGATCGAAGTTACATGTACTAAAAAAAAAATTAGACAAATAAAAAAGAAATTGTGGTCAGTTTCTTCAATCGAATCATTTAGAGTCTACTTAAATTTTGATGACATTGACGAAAATGTAAGTGAGCGTTTGAATTTAATTTAATTTTTTTTGTGATATTTAAATACTCAATGTTCATGTAAAAGTTAGTATAATGTGTTTGTCGAGAGATATATTAAGAGAAATGTCATTGAAATTATATTTATTTTTAACATTAAAAGTAAAGTACTAAATGAATAAAGGAAAATCCAGTCTAACCCCTCGGCCAAACTGATAAATGCAGGCGTGATATTTTCAAAATAATTGAGCGACCCCAAATCCAATGTAATGAATTTTATCGACGTTAAAAGTGTTGTTGCATCTTTCAACTTAACTTGAAAAATTTCTAAAAGCTAAGAAAGTGGTAAGGTCGGAATCCCGACTACTTGCGAACTTGAAGGAATGTATGCAAGCCGTAAAAGGTATTAATAAGAGAGAATTTGATTGTTAATCAACCTAAAAATAAGTTCCGGCCATGTCACCCCTATGGGAGGTCGAGGATGAGGTCGACTTGAGCCCGAACCCTATGTCAGCTGGATTCCTTGCGTGGACAGAGGAACTTTCTGAAAACTTCTTTTCTTACTTTTTCAGATTTTTTTTTTGTATTATGATTTTTTGTCAATGAGACTGAAACAAATGTATCCTCATACGAGAAATAACTATATTATTGTGTAATTCGTACTTCGGTTCGAACTATCTATATTTAACTTTCTCGAGTTCGGATTGTATAAAACTCATATGTTTGGAGCACCTAGATTGGACGAGAAATTAGTAGGGATCGACTTAAATGTACTTCAATGGTGGAATGCTTAATCTACATTTAGTATTGTCCAATATAGTGCGATACTTGTTCACAAAATCGATGACTTTATAGCACTTACAAAGTAAGGTACTTTATGGAAAAACATAAGTGAAATCGAGATGCATCATGTGACTTGAACGATATTGCAACTCGAATAGAAATACACGTTTGTATGTGCTAATTATTTCGAGAAGATGAAGGTGGCTTTCCACATCTTTTTCGGATGTGCAATTGCTACCAAGGTAGTATTGTAAATATATTTCATTTCTTCATTCGTTATTAAATTGTATTTGTTTTATTTTTTAAAAAAAAATCTAAAAAAAAGATTAATTAGTATACAATTTTAACTTCGCTTATATTATGTAGTTATTTCTATGCAATAATAGGGGAGGTTTTTTTAATTTTATAAGATAAAATAGATTTTTCCTTACAAAATTACATATTCATTATACTTCAAGGGCACGTAAAAACTTTAATTCTGAGTTTTTTCCAAAAAAAAAAGACCGACCATCTCAACTCACCTCATTAAGTTTTGAAGACGTGCCAACTCGTGCTCGACTCACGTGATGGGCCGAGCCGTGCCCGAGCGACTCGACTGATCCATTTAACACTCCATATGTGAAATGCACAATTAATTTCTTAAGAGAGACTATTTGGAGTTTCAATTATGACCTTTTTTATGATTGAGGTTGATGGGTTGAAAGTGAAAGACAACTAAATTTAAGGATAAGGTTTTGTTTGCTAATTAGTGCTTGTACGGGTTTATTGTATTTCAAAGTAAACATTAACTTTGAGCACACATTCATAATTATCATTTATTTATTATACATACATTTTGCAAGATTCATTACTACTAATAGAGAAATTAATAAATTTTTTACTTTACAAAAACTGCTATGTTGTATTTCTTTTAGGCCCTGTTTGATAGGAATGATTTTTCATGGAAGTTCGAAATTATTTTCCATTTTCCACCTTTTAGTCTGTTTGATAGGAAAAATTTTCTAGACAACTTGTTTTCCAACTTTTATATCCATTTTCCACTTTTTCCTTGAATTGGTTTTCCCGTGGGTTCGGTGGTTTTTGGTTTTCTAGGCTTCTTTTTTTTTTTTTTTGAAATTGAAACAAATTTTATAACAAATTGTAAAAAAAAATCATTTTAATCGACAATTTTCATGTAAAATAAAGTCAAACGAATACTAAACTTTGATTAAAAATTGATTTTCTTGGAAATTTACTTTTTTGCAATGGAAACAAATTTTATAACTAACTGTGAAAAAATTATCACATTAATGGATAATTTTCATGTAAAACAAAGTCAAACGAACACAAAAAGATCCAAAATTTTAAAATTTTTCGAGTGAAAAATTATACAAATCAAA